TTAGTTACTTATTTACTTAGCTGAACGGTTGTTCCATAAGCCGAGCTTAAAAAAGATTTACAAGCGCGTCGGTCTTGTGCACATCTCCTCCAATTTGAAAGATCACGTTCCAAGATGTTGTTTTCTACTTGGTCTTTCCATCTGATTCGTGGCCTTCCCCTTCTACGGGAACCATCAGTAGGCTCGCTTAGACCATAGTAGCATATGTTGGCCATCACAATCCTTCTCCGAATTTCATAACTGATGTCATTCGTTATATCGACGCGGCGTTATAGCCGACGAATAGGTGGTATGTGTCGATGTGTTTTTCGTGGGTCTTTCGCAGGATTTGACACAGAGTGAACATCTGGTCAATGGTGAATTTGCCAGGTCTGATGCCGCATTGGTATAGTACAATAATGCCATTGACACAGCACACTGGATATCACTTTATATACGATGGAAAGGAGACTTATTCCTCTATAGTTGGCACATATCGTCTTGTCTCCTTTATTGTGCACGGGACACAGGATGCTGAGGTTCCAATCATTGGGCATGCATTGTTCTAGCCAAATTGTACTAATCAGCTGGTGCATGCTCCTTACCAGCTTCTGACCACCAGTCTTGAATAGTTCGCCTTGTAACCCATCGGTACCTGCTGCTTTATTATTCTTCAGCCGATTGATTGCTATTCTGACTTCATCTTGGCTAGGTGGTATACACTCTATGCCGTCATCTATTATTGGTTCTGTGGTATTCTCTTCACCGCATTTCTCAAAATGCTCCTTCCAGATCTTCAGCACGCTGTCTGTATCTGTCACCAGGCTGTATCTGACACCAAAACCTTCGGTTTGGTGTTTTACTCGTTGTTAAAATTTCCGGACTTCATTCTGACTCCTGTACATCTCGATTTGCTCACGCTCACGTTGTTCTTGTTATGAAAACACGTTTCTCCTCTCTCCTTTTCTTCCGATAATTCTCCATCACATTACGTGTTGCTACTGTCTGCAAATCGGGTTGCCCTAAACGCTGCGTTTTGTCTTTGGTCTGCTCATCTTTGTCTTCGGTCGGATCATGGGCGCAAATAAGACTGATGTGGAAGAACTTCGCTTTTATGCGGATTATAGCAATTCACCCATTTACTGGAGTAAATCTGGAGACGAGGTCTTTTACTCTGCTGTTGAACATAAATCCGCAGCAAAATTAATGTCTCGGTTTATGGTAGCTATAATACAGTGCGTAATCGTCTGATTTACTTACGCCTGTCCCTTTTCTATCGCATTTCCTGTAAGACAATAATATCGGCTTTGTACTTCTTGAGTATATCCGTCAAAGCGAACACTGCGCCTGTTCTGTACAACGTGCGCACATTCCAAGTGCAGATTCGCAGATCGTGGTCCTTTATACGTTTGCGGGGGTCGTCAACATTAGGGGGGTTTGGTTTTCTTTTTCTTAGCTTTTTCATAGTAGGTTGGGTTTTCCGAGAGTGGGCAACTAACCCGACGCCTCAACCCATTTTTTATTGTTCTTATGGGTGAACTCGCGGCATATATTAGCTCACTATTTCATCGGGTGATGAGAATAGCTACCCCAGGTGAAACCGCGGGGAGGTCAATGTCCACAATTGAGATGAAAGAGGGACCAAGATATGCCTGGACTTCGCCATGTTAGAGCCAATTAGAACCGTTGCTTGGTAACTATCATCCCCTAAGCCAACCTGTCAAAAAATTATTCTTTAAAAAAATCCACTCCTATATAATTTTGGAAAAATATTCTTTAGAAATTTCATGCCTATGTAATTGTCTCAACAAATATTCTTTGAAAATCCCTCATAATATTGGTATATGAAACTCCCTTCAATTTAACCTTGAACTTTAATTTTCTATGAAATCAATATTTAAGATATCAATCTTATCATACCATCGATGAGATAAAAATCATTTATTCCACAATCCAAATCGAGTATATAAATTCATGCCATTTCTTGATTTAAAATCAATCAAGTTCAAGAAGCTTCACAAGACACTCATCTAAACAATCCAACCAACAGCAGCAGCAGACCAGTCCGGCAGAACAATTGTCCTCAACTCACTATCATCATCACCATGCAATACTTAAGTAAGTTGTCCAATTTTATTGTTGTCAATGTACTACAACAACAGCAGAAAAAAACAACAACTAAGGCAATTTTCTTTTATTTCATTTCCACACACACATTCACAGATATTTTACTGCTATTACTGATCGGCGTGTGGGCCAGTCTCAGTTCGTGCGACAATGCCAATATTGAAAGTACCAGTTTTAATGGTCGTCCCGGCTGCAAGACCCAGGGGGAAGTGGGTAATGTTTATGCGAATTTCTTCGATTCGACACGTTATTGGCGTTGTCTGGCAATTGGTGTCGATGCCATTTCTATTCGTTGTCCTAATGGTTATGGTTTCCAACCGAAATTGAAAACTTGTGTCTCCTTTGCATCCTGGCAATGGGAAACTGCCCAAATGCCACCAAGTTGTCCTGATTTTGAAGTGGAATGTATACCGAATTTGCAAGTTTAGATTTGGTGGAAAATGAAAGGAAAATTAAAAAGAAAAATGAAGTATATATGTATGTGTGTGAGTGGAATTTTATTACCACTTCTTTGAGAAAATAAATTTAAAATAAAGAAACAAATAAAAAAAATATTTAATGAATATTTTTCCCAGAATTAGGTAGACGTGGATTTTTTAAAGAATCATTTTGAGGACCATTATAAAGGCGTGGATTTTTTAAAGAATATTTTTGAGGACCATTATAAAGGTGTGGATTTTTTAAAGAATCATTTTGAGGACCATTATAAAGGCGTGGATTTTTTAAAGAATCATTTTGAGGACCATTATAAAGGCGTGGATTTTTTAAAGAATCATTTTGAGGACCATTATAAAGGCGTGGATTTTTTAAAGAATATTTTTGAGGACCATTATAAAGGCGTGGATTTTTTAAAGAATATTTTTGAGGACCATTATAAAGGCGTGGATTTTTTAAAGAATATTTTTGAGGACCATTATAAAGGCGTGGATTTTTTAAAGAATATTTTTGAGGACCATTATAAAGGCGTGGATTTTTTAAAGAATATTTTTGAGGACCATTATAAAGGCGTGGATTTTTTAAAGAATATTTTTGAGGACCATTATAAAGGCGTGGATTTTTTAAAGAATATTTTTGAGGACCATTATAAAGGCGTGGATTTTTTAAATAATATTTTTGAGGACCATTATAAAGGCGTGGATTTTTTAAAGAATATTTTTGAGGACCATTATAAAGGCGTGGATTTTTTAAATAATATTTTTGAGGACCATTATAAAGGCGTGGATTTTTTAAATAATATTTTTGAGGACCATTATAAAGGCGTGGATTTTTTAAATAATATTTTTGAGGACCATTATAAAGGCGTGGATTTTTTAAATAATATTTTTGAGGACCATTATAAAGGCGTGGATTTTTTAAAGAATATTTTTGAGGACCATTATAAAGACGTGGAACAAAAGTTAGGAAAACTATGACAACAGCGATTTTGTAATGCATTTCGATTTTTTTCAACTGATGTGTGGATTTGTTGTTACTAAACTATTTTTGTAATTAAATATTTTTTCACTGAACACGCCTCCTCTTTTATATGTTGTTGTCGTTGTTTTCATAAGGGTATGTTTGTGTATTTTCATTTATCTTTATTATTGTGTTTATTTACTTATGAGGGTTTACGATTTATTTATTTTTAAAGTCGACAATTTATTGTTCTACCTTAGTTGAATTGAATATTGTATTGTTACTAAGTAGACAATATACCCATATTTTATTAAATTTTCTTATGTACCTAAATCCATCAAATCACGCCTTAATAATTGTTTCAAAAAATATTCATTAAAAAATCCATGTTTTATGATTGTGGGAATAAATATTCTTTAAAAAATCCACGCCTATATAATTGTCGAAAAATATTTTTTTTTTAAAGTGATTATTTATACTCTTTCGAGTCGAGTTTGATGATCTAAGTTTTGCAATGAAAAGGAAAGCCAGGAGAAGAACCTACGTACCCATCATTATGCGACGCGTTTTGCTGTTGGTTAAGCGGCTCATCAGGCATATTGGGCTATGTGGCTTTACAAAGGTCGTACCGTTGATAACTTGTATTTATTCCGCCCTGATGCGAAACTTGCCTATGCGAATTAAATTCAAATTTGTTAAAGTTCGACATTTGTCTTCATTCTAGGAAAAGTCCTTTTCAAAGCAGATTTTTGTTGTAGCAATGGATAATTAATCCACACACCTACAATTGCTTCCATGGTATACACATGTTTTTGCTCAACCGTTTTGGAAGTGTGTTGATGGCTCAGAACGTTAAGTAGTCTGGCAACATTTGTGTTGCTCCGAGGACCTTGGTTCGAGCCCTAGCCGTGCTCAGCTGAATTCAATTTTGCCTTGTAAGGGCAGTGATTATTTGAAAGTAATTAGGTAGGTTCTTCTCCTGGCTTTACTTTTCATTGCAAAACGTAGATCATCAAGCTCGACTCGAAAGAGTATAAATAATCACTTAAAATTACTTTCAAATGATCTCTGCTCTTACAAGGCAAAATTCAAATAACGAAAAAATATTCTTTTAAAAAATCCACTCCTATATAATTCGGGTGGCGTAGGCGATGATAGATACCAAGCAACGGCTCTGTTTGGCTTTAACATGGCGAAGTCCAGGCTTATCTTGGTCCCTTTTTCATCTTAATTTTGGACACTGACCTCCCTGCGGTGTCACCTGGGGTAGCTATTTTCTTCACCCGTTGAAATAGTGAGCTAATATGTGCCGCGAGTTCACCCATAAGAACAATAAAAAAACGTGTTGAGGCGTCGGGTTAGTAGCCCACACTTGGAAAACCCCTCCAACAAAGAAAAAGAAAACCAAACTCCCCAAAATGTTGACGACCTCCGCAAACGTATAAAGGACCACGATTTGCGAACTTGCACTTGGTACGTGCGCAGGTTGTGCAGAACAGGCGCAGTTCTCGCTTTGGCGGATGTACTCAAGAAGTACAAAGCCAATATTATTGTCATACAGGTAATGCGATGGAAAGGAACAAGCGTAAGTAAATCAGCGAATTGCTATAATCCGCATTAAAGCAAAGTCCTCCTACATCAGTCTTATTTGCGCCCATGCTCCGACCGAAGACAAAGATGAGCAGACCAAAGATTAGAAACAGCATATGATCGCTGCCCTGGCCATGACATTAAAATTATGCTAGGATATTTTAATGCATAAATCGGAAGGGAAAATATCTTTGGCCCCGCCGTCGGAAAATTCAGCCTTGATGAAGAAACATCCGACAACGGCATAAGGATAAGACTTCGCGGCAGCAAAAACATGGTAGTTAGCAGCACCAGATTCAAGCATCTCGATATACACCTGTATTTCTCCTGATCAAGCAACAAGAAATCAAATGGATCATGTTGTGATAGACGGAAGACATTCGGAAGACCATGGTACGATCAGGAGTGTCGTAATGCCACAGATGTGAAAAACGCAGCGTATAGGGCAACCCTACAGACAGTAGCAACACCTAATGTGATGGAGAATTATCGGGAGAAAAGGAGAGAGGAGAAACGTGTTTTCAGAAAAAAGAAGGAAGAACAAGAAAAACGGGAGCGTGAGCAAATCGAGATGTACAGGCACATTCTCCTGTAGAGATGAAGAAGGAAACCTGGTGACAGACACAGACAGCGTGTTGAGGATCTGGAAGGAGCATTTTGAAAAGCTTCTGGTATCAAATAGTGGCGGTGAAGAAGATACCCCAGAACCAATAATAGATGACGGTATAGAGTGTATACCACCTAGTTCAAGAACAATAAAGCAGCAGGAGCCGAACTATTCAAGACTGGTGGTCAGGAGCTGATTAGTACAATTTGGCTAGAGGAATGCGTGCCCAATGATTGGAACCTCAGCATGTTACTCGCCTATGTCGATGACATCAATATAATTGGTCGAACATTGCGAGCGGTAACAACCACCTTTGAACAAATTGAGAAGGAGTCTGCCAAAGTGGGTCTGGCAGTAAACGGCGAGAAGACCAAGCTGATGGTATCAACGCGCAAGACGTCCAGTAGACTCGGACCGACTGTGGAACTTGAGAACTACAGAGGTAGTTAAAGATTTTTTATACCTTGGTACCGCCATAAATAAAACGAATGACATCAGTTTTGAAATTCGGAGAAGGATTGTGATGGCAAACAGATGCTACTATGGTCTGAGCAAACAACTCAAAAGCAAGTCCACCTCCCGCCAGACCAAACTCACACTCTACAACACGCAGATACTACCCGTGCTGTTATTTGGATCTGAAGCATGGATACTTACGCAAGCAGATGAGGTAGCTCTTGGAGTGTTTGAGAGAAAAATTCTCCGAAAGATCTATGGACCGATCTGCGTTGACGGTGAATATCGTCGTCGAATGAATCATGAGTTGTACCAGCTATTTTCGGACATCGACATTGTCATTCGTATTGGGCTGCAGCGACTATGGTGGCTAGGCCATGTTGTGCGAATGAATGAGAATTCCCTCAGCTCAAAAGGCATATAAAAGCGAGCCTACTGATGGTTCCCGTAGAAGAGGAAGGCCACGAATTAAATGGAAAGTCCAAGTAGAAAACAACATCTTGGAAACTGGTCTTTCAAATTGGTGGAGATGCGCACAAGACCGGCGCGCTTGGAAATCTTTATTAAGCTCGGCTTATGGAACAAACATTCTGTAACAAGCCAGCTAAGAACGTAAGTATATAATTGTCAAAAAAATATTGTTTTAAAAATCCCACGCCTATATAATTGTCCTATAAATTATCAAAAAAAAAATTACATTTCAGACCTACACACATGTTGAAAAATATATGTGCGCAATAAATACACTTTGACTTTATGATTACAATAATTTTTTTATTAAATGCAGTTTCTGTATTTTTTAATTAACATATTTTTACAATCGAATTTCCATTTCATCAAATATCATAACAATTTCTCGCTTTTACAGTCCCGAACCTTCTGCAGCAACAGTTGGTTCAACTGGAGAACTTGGTGGGGCAACAGTTGGTGTCCAATACCATTGGGCCCAGGGAACACATGACTTGGCATCATCCAAAAATCCAGTTAGCAATGGACAAAATTCAAGGGTGGCTGGTTCACCGACAACACTGCATCTCCAGTAGGCACGCTTATTACGGAAATGACGATAAAGCCCCACAGAGACTTCTTCTTCGGTCTGGCAACCTGGCTGGCCGGTGAACAAAGGATTACCTTGAGCCTGGACTTGATTCAAGGCCAAGAGTGCCAGGAAAACAGCGAACAAAGCGACAACGAATTTCATTTTGATTTTTGGTTTCTCTTCTTGTTTTTCTTATGAGATAGATGCTGATCGTTAGATGTGTAGATTTCGACTGATATCATTTCCGACACACCTTTGTTTTTTATAGTTTTGTAAAATAAGAATTGTACTATTCGTTGGTGGTCTTATTGTTATTTGGAGGTGTTATTGTTTTCTTTTTCAGCTATCTTTATGATTTTGTTTATTTACTTATTACACGTGAGCCATACGGTCTCGTTATACCGCTCTACATCTGGAAAATCCCATGCAAAAATATTTGCTAATTCAAATATTATCCGAATGGCAAATAAAATTATAATTGAAAACAAGAGTGTTGTCATCCGTAATAGGGATATCAACAAGTAAATAAATAATTTAGTTGTTTATTTATTTAATGCATCCATACCGGATTGAAATATAAAAACAAATATTTAATGTAGCCATCTTTGGTTGGTAACAAGTAACTTGAATTTCCTTACAACACAAAGCAATCAATAATTTGTAATTCCTAATATTTTCGCTCTGATAGCTTCAACGTCTTTACTCTTTTATTTTTGGTAAAAAAATCCTTTTTTTTTTGAAAAAATCTATTGATGTCAAATATCTACTCAAAGCATTTAACCGAGTTTTCGTTTAAAATTCGTTACGATTCTTTTTTCATAACTGAAGAGGGTGGACATTAGCGGATGGTTTCAGGCGTCAGAATGGACGCTAGAAAACTTAGAATGAACGAAAATTTCATCGTACATTGCAAACGTTTAGGATCTGCTTGCACTTCAAAGGGATCTCACTAATCTTAATGAAGTGATGAAGAATACGAGTTAGGTAGAGAAGGAACTTAATGATATCTCTCCAGTCGCATGTTTCCCTTATCATAGTTTAACCATTCCTTAATGTTCATATAATGCTGCACAACGTAGTTATCGATGTTTGATTGAATTAGTCGACTCATAGAACACATCATCCATGACAATGCGAAGAACACGATCCAGCACATGGTGTGTCGAAATAAAAAAATCTGTGTTATTCCAATATTTACGCATGCAAAATCAATGCTATTGTTTCCTTAATTTCTCTAGATTCATTCGTGAGGATCGGTTTCTCCAAATAAAGCGTTTTCCCCAAAGAGTTCTTTAAACCGATCAGCTTCCTTGTATTAGTTTAGGGAAAAAGAAATCCATTATTTTTATATGAACTATAAGGCTTTATTTAAAATGCTTCGGAATGTCCGATTTGGGGCAATTGTGCACCGTTTCTGGTAAAATGTAAATGGCTTAAAACAATTTTATGTTCGATTTTTAGCTTCTGGGCGATGTTACGACTGCTTGCCGGACGACTTTGAATTTATCGATATTTTCCACGACCGGCCTACCTGTCGAGGTGCAAAAATTCATGAAAGGACTCTACGAAATCAAAATTGCACATAATTGGTTGTTACAGTATCGGAACCAAAAACATCATTCAATTTTTTTCTCACGAATGCTCACGGCGAGAATTCGAATGTTTTCAATTTATCGCGAATGATAAAGTTACAATGAATGAACAAACATTTGCAATCTCTCGCGAATGTTCGCATTGTACGAAAAATTTACGAACGATAAAATTTCGCTGCTAGCATCGTCGATTCGTTCGTTCGCGAACATTTGTTGCTGAAGAACATTCTTTTGGAAAACTCAAAAACAAATGTTCGCGAACACGGTTTAAACAACAACAAACAAAAATATCATAAAAAAGTAAACACACATACAACGAATGAAAGTCTGCGTAGCAGAAAGTGTTTTGAGCATTCGCGAGAATTCAGGAATGTTTGTTTTCATTCGTGAGAGAATGTCAGAAAAAATTTCAACCACCAAACGAAACGAACGATCGTTGTTGTGTATTCTCACTCGCTTGTTATGTTCGCACACACATTCTTTGGCGAATGTTCGTTTGGTAAAGAATTTATCGCCATAAATTCATTCGTAAAACCAGTGAGCGGAGCAGTATAGTCGGACGGGGCCGACCATATGATACCCTACACAACTACCACTCTACCAACTACCAACTCTAACTTTCTGCGGATTTTTACTTCTAGCCTGGGCCATATTTCTCCCCCGATTAGAGGTCAACAGAGGTCTTTCTCACTGACATATTTTCCGCATATTACTAATATTCAGTACAGTCCTTCTAATTACTTGTCCCGCTAAATATTGACCAATCTTTATCAAAACTGACATGCTTATTCTTTAGCCCGATCCCGATCCCATGTAAAATTTCGACCTCTGGAGCGACCAGAAAAACGGACCATTTCATCCCCTTAACATTAACCGATCTTTACCAAAAACAATAGGGGTCTTCATTGGCCAGAACCCAACCATTCAAAATTTCGTGAAGATTGGTCCATAACTGTGGTCTGTATCGTGTTTACAAATTATAATGGACAGACGGACGGACGGATGAACACACATGTCTAGATCGACTCAGCTAGTCGATATATGCCGATCGGTATACTTAAAGGTAGGTCTATGACCAATATTTCGCCGCGTTACAAACGCTTGGGGCTGCACAAAGCTATAATACGAAAATATTTTTTTACTGCGAAATGTCACCCTTCCAACGAACATAAATCGGAAATTGTTTTATCGATACTTTACGAGAAATCTGTCAGTACAGCTATCTGCCGAAAAAATAATGGATTTATTTTTCCCCATCCTAATATTGACCCATTGTGAGTGTGGCAACAAAAGGAGATGATCGACTTGATCTTGATCTAGGCCTGGTAAAGATAATAGGTTGTAGAAAGTTTGATTCAAATCGGATAGTCCGTCGCATGATATTATAGAATTAGTTTTCAACACAGAAAGAGTGAACCGATATTCACCATCTTTGAACTTGAACTGCATTTTGAAGAAATATTACGATGAGCAAAGTTTGAATGGAATCGATTATTCTGTTTGAGAGTTATCGTGCGCACCAGTCGGCCAGACATTTGCAAATCGGCTCCGAATCATCTGAAACGGATTTGATCCAAAGAAACGTGGGATTTAAAACAGGTATTTGGATGAGGCAGATTTTTGCGGCATCAAAATATATATATCCTCATTAGTCATAAAGCTAAGGGTATAACAATGTGCGCTATTAGTAGCCTAATTATCGTTTCGATTTGGAGGTTCTAAATTTTCTTAAGATAGAAGTCTCCATTAAAGTCTAAAATGTGTATTTAATAAATGTATGATTTCTAGAAGAAAATACCCTATTGATATAATACATTTAAGGGAACCCCCCCATTCACGATTTTAATTTTTCAAGATATTCAATGGGCTGGTAAATCAATACCAATGTAACTTTGCATATATACATATTTAAATGATTTTAAATTTTGGAATGATGTACCACTGAGAATAAAAATACGTGGCGAGCGTTTGCTTCGAGGTGTTTCTTCCAGGAACAACTTCCGTTCGTCTTCGAAGACTCAAGTCCCTATCTCATAGTGTCACACGTTATGTGGCCATTTCTGACGACTTTGTCATTGAGCGAGCGTCGGCTACTATTGAATTCTTACTAAATGGAGCACTTTTTTGGAGTAGTTTTTATATTCAATATATTTTATCGAAATGAGTCTACAAGAGTCACGCGAACACCAATAAAAAATACAAATAATAATAATCGTTTCCACGACAGAGGGGCCTACGATCCGAAACGACCCGAGTTTTGTCTGTCACCTCAGTCCATTGTGTAAAAGCAATAGGGCTGCTACAACAAAAAATAATAATAAAATTCCAGTGATACAATTACAAGTGAAATAGTTTCTTGTATATCTGACGGCAGGACTTATGGTCCTCTGATGAAATTTTTCTGTCCCATATTCCGATTAGGCCCCATAGAACGGTACAGTCAGCATTTGGTAATTTTGGGACTTTTGAGCAGGGGTTTGAACCGAATAGGCTGTATCATGATATTTAATTTTTTTTTTTTTTTAGAGAGAGAGAGAATTTTAAGTTCTTTCTCCGTTCCAAAAATTATAAATATCGGATATAATTTTCATGGTAGTCTCCATATGAGGGTACCCTTTCGTTTTTAGGTATTTTAAGAAGTTTGGAGACGTTTTTTTTAACAAATATAGCGTAATTATTTTGTGTTCTCATTTCCAATACTTTCAATTTCGGTTCGAGTTTTAGTTTAGTCCCTTATAAGTGTGCATACAACTTTTTTTTTAGGAATTTTAATGATTTCCCACACCTTTTTCAACCTTTGGGAATAACTCCTACATAAAGGTCTATCCCCTTCATACATATTTTGGCAGTTTAAGGCGAATTTTCAAACCGAAGTAAATGTCAAATCACTTGCAATGTACTGCAAGGAATTCCGAACTTTAGTGGGCAAAAACTTCTTGTAACATATTTCATATAACTCCAGCTTTCTACACAATCCTCATACAAAGCTCACGCATTATTTGGGTATGTTCAAGGTTCAAGGCCAAATTTTCGACTTGAGTGTCTTTGTCTTCTCCCCTTTCGAATTTAAGTACTTTTAGTGACCACATCATGATTAAAGGTAAAGGTCCTGCCGAACTTAGCATAATTTTTATCTGCTTTATCTCCATACATTCGAAAATGTAAGTTTTCAAGAACCACATTTAAAAAATCCCTGTACAAAATATTTACTTTTATATCTGCGATTCTCATTTTGTATACATATTTGTGTTGAATCAAAATGTTATTGCCATGAGTGGTCTTTCGAAACAATTACATTTCACCCATAAATAGATACCAAACATTACTTTCTGCAGCACATTTCGATTTTCTAATATCAACCACAATTATAGATAAATATTTTCCTATAATGCCCAAATAATTACTCCAATGCATATTTTATTGTATTGCACATATGAATTCCAAACATTTCCTATTGTTGCAATTCGATTGCTAATATCTTTATTTTTGTTGTGTGGTTAGCCATTTGCTCTTATTCTTCTCATTTTTATTATTATTGTCATCTCTTATCGGTTTTTGGATGGTAGGTAATTTTGAAAATTTATCAAGATTTTAAATCTATGCCTATAACAAACAAATAAGAAGAATTCCAACTATTTTCTTTGTGTCTGTCTGTTGATATACCTTAGTGTGTATTTGTGTATGGCTGTGGATTGTGCTTAACTAGTTGTAATTAGGCCACTTTAAGTGATTAACAACCATCCATTGTTGCTGTTGTTCTTGGTATGTCAATGTTTGTGTTAGTCTTTGTTCTTCTCTCTGAGGTAGTGGCGATGGTGGTGGCAAAAGGTTAACTTTAATTATATTTTAATGTAAACATTTTTATCGCCAAAAACCAAGAATATTTATAATGTGGGGTGCAAAACCACCTTTTTAATCTGATTGATGTGGTTTCAAATGTTGTCGTGTGTGTGCATGGGGATATTGGAGTAGTGTGTGGTTAAGGGTGTCGAATTTTTGCCAAAAAATTTTAAACAGTGCAACAATGAGATATGGTTTGCTTTAATTTATTTAATTGATGATGTTAATAGGGTGTTCGTGGAATTGAAGTCTCTATAAAGGATCTGAAGCAGAAATCTTTGTACAGGAGCTAAATCAGGGCGTCTCTATAGGCGAGCTGCAGTGAGTCTCTATAGACGAGCCGAAGGAAGTCTCTATAGACGAGCTGAAGGGAGTCTTCTTTATAGACGAGCTGAAGGGAGTCTTCTTTATAGACGAGCTGAAGGGAGTCTTCTTTATAGACGAGCTGAAGGGAGTCTTCTTTATAGACGAGCTGAAGGGAGTCTTCTTTATAGACGAGCTGAAGGGAGTCTTCTTTATAGACGAGCTGAAGGGAGTCTTCTTTATAGACGAGCTGAAGGGAGTCTTATAGACGAGCTGAAGGGAGTCTTCTTTATAGACTAGCTGAAGGGAGTCTTCTTTATAGACGAGCTGAAGGGAGTCTTCTTTATAGACGAGCTGAAGGGAGTCTTCTTTATAGACGAGCCGAAGGGAGTCTTTATAGACGAGCCGAAGGGAGTCTTCTTTATAGACGAGCTGAAAGGGAGTCTTTATAGACGAGCTGAAGGGAGTCTTTATAGACGAGCTGAAGGGAGTTTTTTAGACGAGCTGAAAGAGAGTCTTTTTAGACGAGCTGAAGGGAGTTTTTTTAGACGAACCGAAGGGAGTCTTTATAGGCGAGCTGAAGGGAGTCTTTATAGGCGAGCTGAAAGGGAGTCTTTATAGACGAGCTGAAAGGGAGTCTTTACAGACGAGCTGAAGCAGGGAGTCTTTATAGACTAATGAAAAGGGGCCTTTTTAGATGAGCTGAAGATATTATATCAATTTTAACTGGTAGCAGATAAAGTCGGAAAGGGCCTTTCAGAGCCCTTCAATACCGAACGAGGATTCAGACAAGGTGACAGTATCAAGTGATGCAAATGTGAACAGAAACGACACTCTGTACACCAAACAGCACATGTTACGCGCCTATGCCGACGACATCGACATAATGGTTCGAACATTGCGAACGGTAACTATAACCTTTGAACAAATTGAGAAGAAGTCTGCAATAGTGGGACTGGCAGTAAATGGAGAGAAGACCAAACTGATGCTATCAACGCGCAAGACGCCTAGTAGACTCGGAACAACTGTGGAACTTGAGAACTACAGCTTCGAGGTAGTTAAAGATTTTATATTCCTTGGTACTGCCATAAATAAAACGAATGACATCAGTTTTGGAATTCGGAGAAGGATAGTGTTGGCCAACAGATGCTACTATGGTCTGAGCAAGAAACTCAAAAGCAAGGCCACCACTCGCCAAACCAAACTCACACTCTACAAGACGCCTATACTACCCTTACTGTTCTATGGATCGGATCATGGGTACTTTGCGCAATCAAATGATGTAGCTCTTGGAGTGTTTGAAAGAAGAATTAACCGGAAGATCTATGGTACAGCTCATGGTTCGAATGAACCATGAGCTGTACCATCTATTCTCGGACATCGACATGGTCAGACGTATCAAGCTGCAGCGAATACGTTGGGTAGGTCTAGCTCAAAAGGCATATAAAAGCGAGCCAACTGATGGATCACGTAGAAAGGGAAGACCTCGAATTCGATGGAAAGATCAAGTAGAAAACAACATCTCGGAATATTGGATGAACTGCGCACAAGGTCGACGCACCTGGAAACTTTTTAAGCTCTGATTATGGAACGAATGTTCTGTCACAAGTCAGCTAAGTAAGTAATAAGACATTATTTGTAGACGAGCTGAAGGAAGTCTCTATAGACGAGCTAAACCTGGGAGTCTCTCTATAGACCAATTTAGGCATGTTTTTTTCATAGAGCTCGATTTTGAAGGGATCATGAAGGACGAAAATTAAAATTCTAAAACATATTAATTTTTCTATGCTTTTATTTCAATTTTTATTTAAAAATATAACAATATTACCAATTAATAAATCTAAAATAACATAATAATATCAAATAGAGGATTAAAATTTTCAAAAATTTAGAAAACAAATTCAATTATTTCCCAAAAGCCAAAAATTACAACAAATCTAAAAACCGCTAACCAAAAATTTACTGAGGTGGGACATCGGTGACATCAGCAACTGGATAGCTGGGAGGAGCAACAGTTGGTGTCCAATACCATTGAGACCATGGTACACAAGCACGTGCAGCTTCGAGAAAACCTTGAGCAACGGGACATAATTCCAATGTGGCAGGCTGGCCCAATACCGAGCATCTCCAATAGCCTCTCTTGACACGGAAGTGGGGATAAACACCAACGGCAACTTCTTCCTCAGTTAAACACCCTGGTTGTCCGGTATAGGCGGGATCAGTTGGATTTTGAACTTGAGCCAATGAAACGGCAACAAAGGCGGCAAAAACAATGAAGACTACGGCGAATACTTTCATTTTGACGACTAATTTTTTTTGTGAGATTCGTTCGAAATATGTAATTGTTGTTAGAGAACTGATGTTAGTTGCCAATTTGTTACATCTTTTTATAGTTATCTTGCTGTTGTTGTTTTCGACCTCAATCGGTGCTTATCTTGTTACTGTGACTGGGTGTTAGTTATCTGTAATATTCCATACTACAGCTTTGTAAATCTTCGCCATATGATAAACAAAATCTGCGTCAGATGTTTATGTTAAATAAAAGTATAATAAAATGTTAATTGCTATTTAGAGCCTCATAGAGATTTTTTTTAAGTTCGCCTATAGCGACTTCATCGCTTTGGTCAATAGCACATTACATACAGCTCATCTGTTTTGAAGTTCCGCCTCTATTAAGTTTATCTGATCTGGTCGTTAATAAAGATTATCTGCTTCCGCACAGATATACGTACGTACGTCTTTGGCCCTTTAGATCTTCTATGGAGACGTCTTCAAGATTTAAACTCCTCTATCTCTAGCTTCAGTTCGTATATCAAGCCCCCAATTTCAAGTTGAAATTTTCAACTCGTCCTACTTTAGTTGGTGTATTGATTTTCAATGTTATATTGAGACTCCCTTTGAGAACATCCAAAGGGATTCCGCCCTTTATTTCGACTATGTCTATAGAAACTCACTTATAGTTGACTTGTACAGACTCCAATCAGCTTGTCCATATAGTACCCATCTATATAATCATCATTGCCTCTTTAATTTCTCTCTTTAATTATGGAATGCTTCAGAGCATATTTGTGTTCCATAAAAAGTTATCAGGCATAGTAAAATAGTTGCCATCTTAAGAAGATAAAGGCGTAGAAAAAATGCCGTGACTCACTTCGATATAATCTGGACCGGATACTACATTTTTTTAAAATACGTTGTTATGTTTTACCTCTAAATCTAAAAATATATTTTTCTATTTCTTTGTAGATATAGTGACCAAAAGCCTATACATATTTTAAGTGTAATGGTAAGTAAATATATCACATTTAAATTATCCACCTCCATTAAACACTCGACTTCGTTTTATTTCGCAAAACAAACATTTAGATTTGTCAGTGAACTGGCCTGTGTAAAAATAATTAGTTTATGTTTTGTGTGGGGGGAGTTATAGTTGCAGTCAAAAAATAACACAAAAAACAAAATGTCTTATCATCTTGAACATTGTTTTGGTCAGAATGTGTAAGTAAACATTCCGGCCGTAGTTTGTGGTTTATAATAGGATAACTCATACTATCCAACAAATAATGCTGCACGACAAGTAAAGGGTTATAAAACTAAATATTCAC